AGACGCTACTCACCAAGGTAGAATGTAGAACATTGTCTTTATAAACTGTGTTATGCCAGTTGAGCTAGATGTTCCCCGAGACCATGGTCCCCACGGCCCTCCGTCCAGCAATTCAGTCCCTCAGGGAGTTTGGAAGTGTCTATGGAGCTTCCATGACCTTTCCTTGTACAAGTTGTGTTGGCTTCTCCAGTAATGTGTACTGTCTTACCCTCCACCAAAGTTACCACTTATCTATTTAGTTCCACCCCCACCCCTCCCATCCCTCGTAACCCACAAAGATTGTTTCTTTTTGTGTGCAAACTTTTACATGAGTTATACAGTAGAGGTCTCATACAATATTTGTCCTTTTGTGATTGACTTATTTCACTCAGCATAATGTCCTCTAGTTTCATCCATGTTATGAGATGCTTCACAGATTCATCATCGTTGTTTATCTTTGTATAATACTCCATTGTGTGTATGTGCCATAGTTTGTTTACCCATTCATCTGTTGAAGGGCATCTAGGTTGTTTCCATCTTTTTGCTGTTGTTAACAGTGCTTCAATGACTATGCGTGTGCATATGTCTATTAGTGTGACAGCTCTTATTTCTCTAGGATATATTCCTGGGAGTGGGATTGCATTTTGTAGTGCTTTTTTTTTTGTGGTGTTGACATTTTCTTTGTTCCTCTTACTCTCCTGTGTTTAGTTCCTTTTGTTTGTGGATATTTTCTTCATTTCTTTTGTTTGTGTAGGTTTTGTTTTTACTGAGACTTTATGTTTTTCTTCTTTATTTTGATGAGTAGGTTTGTTAACTTTCTTTGTGGTTACTTTGAAATTTACCTTTATCTTGCTAGATTTGAACCATTGTCTATTATTACTTGGTATCGCTTGACTTCCTCTCCATTAGAAGGTTCTATACCTACACTGTTTTTTCCCTCTTTTATTGTTCTGATGCTGTTGTCATTTACAGATTAACCTCTCTGGTTCTCTTGTAATTCTTTTGGTTTTGCATAGTCCTTAAGAGTTCATTTCCTAGGTTGGTATCTGGCTAGTACAATCCTGTGTCCTAGACTCAGCCTGTGGTCTGATATTGTTTGTTCTCAGATCAGAGGACTTCCTTTAATAAGTCTTGTAAGTTTGGTTTTTACATGGTCCCTTAATTTCTGTTTATCGGGAAATGACCTAATTTCACCATCAAATTTGAATGAGAGTTTTGCAGGATATATTATTCTTGACTGGCAATTTTTTTCTTTCAAGGTTTTATATCTGTCATCCCATTGCCTTCTTGCCTGCATGGTTTCTGCCGAATAATCTGAGCTTAGTCTTATTGTTTCTCCTCCGTACGTGACTTTTTGTTTTTCTCCAGCTGCTGTCAGGATTCTTTGTTTGTCTTTGGTTTTAGCAAGTGTGATTATGATAAGCCTTGGT